TAAGCTGCCTGGCTGCAGGCCACCGTCTTGGCTGGCAGTTAATTTGCATATCACCCTGATTAGCCAATGGGAAGGGTATCGGTCGTACACCAATTACCATGTTTCTCTTTTATTAGATAGGATGGACAAAGTGCCTTGGGAGAACCAGGACACAGGACACAGGGTCAGGAAGGAGGAGCCAGCTCCAGCTCCCGAGGAGGCCCATTCATGCTGTGATCTGTGTTTTCACCCGTAGCCTGCCCACAGTGATTACCTGTGGAGGGGCCTGCAGGGACATGGGAGGAGCAAGATGGGATATGGAGGTTTAGGAGGCAGTGGACCAGCTCCTCAGAGGAGCACGTCAGATAGCACACGCCCTATTCAGCCACCTGCCTGGCGTTGGGTGTTGTCAGATATGACCCTAACCACTCAGTGTTTGTCCTGTTCACTACTCTGGTAAAAATACTGCCTTAGCCTTGGCCCATAAGGCTCAGTTGGTTGAGCACCGTCCTGTGCACTGAAAGGTCACCGGTTCCATTCCTGGTTAGGGCACATACCCAGGCTGTGTGTTCAATCAATCCCCAGTCAGGGTGCTGCAGGAGGCAGCTGATCATTATTTCTCTCTCTCCCTCCCTCTCTAAAAGTCAATAAATATATATTAAGCCCTAGCTGGTTTGGCTCAGTGGATAGAGCGTTGGCCTGCGGACTAAAGGGTCCCAGGTTCAAGTCCTGTCAAGGGCACATGCCTGGGTTGTGGGCTCAATCCCCAGTATGGGGTGTGCAGGAGGCAGCCAATCAATGATTCTCTCTCATCATTGATGTTTCTCTCTCTCTTCTTGTCTCTTTCTTTCTGAAATCAATAAAAATATATTTGAAAAAAATAAAAACATGTCAAAAAGGCCTGGCCAGTGTGTTAAGTGGTTAGAGCATCGACCCGCACACAGAAGGGTCACAGGTTCAATTCCCAGTCCAGGGCATGCACCAGGGTTGCAGGCTAGATCCCTGTCCCTGTCAGGGTGCATGCAGAGACAAACAATCAATGTTTCTCTTTCTTTCCCCATTCTTCCCTTCCACTCTAAAAAAATCAATGGAAAAAATATCCTCAGGTGAGGATTAACAAAACAAAACAAAACAAAACAAAAAATGGTTTCTTTAGATGCTACCCAGCTGGTCTTCTCCTTAATCCAATTCTGATTTCAAAGAGTCAACATCATGTGCTGTGGGGGGTAGGGGGGAGGAAACATACTTAAATTTTCAGAATCCTTTCTATATGGAGTGTGTCTTGTGGAACTAGCATTGCATGATTTGCGTGCAAGGGATCACCTGTTTATTATAAGATGACAGTTTTCTCTCAACTAAATCTGTAAATCTAAGCAATGCCACTTCCTGCAAAAATAAAAACTCAGGGTGAGGGAAGTGAATAAGCACATCTAAGGTTGACAAGAAAAAAGAACCTGCAGAGGAGACCGGCTTCCAGACCTCCGTGATCAAGACAGTGGGGCTCAGGCTAACTGGGATGACAACCCAGAACTACCCACACGCAGGCCGGGGCTCAGCACACCATAAAGATGGCACCTCAGTGGGGAAAGACAGCTTTTCCAGGACAGGTAGTTGGGGCAAATGATTTAGAAAAAGCAGTTTGTGTTCCTACCTCACTCTTTCTGAAGAGTAGTTTCTAGAATTAGACCAAAATTTAAGTTATTTTAAAAAGAAACCATTACATTTCCAGAAGAAAATATCAAATGTTATATTATCTTGGACTAGAGAAAATGTTTCTGAGTGTGACACAAAATGCAGAAGCCACATATGAAAACCACTAATAATAACTAATAACTTTAAGTGCCTGGCACAAATAAATAAATATGAAACACAAACAAAAAGACACAATCCAAGTCAAAGACAATGACAGAATGGGAAAAACACTTTAACAGACAATGGGCTAATTGCTTTAATATTGAAAGTGCCTAGAAAAGAGTAACACCAACAACCCAACAGAAAAATGGGCAAAGAATATGTAATACAAACAGCTTTTAAATATAAGCACATTTATAATAAATATAGGTCTTTCCAGTTTCAAAATGGTAGAAATTATCAACATAAAAAATAAATCTGACAAAAGCACTGAGATCCATTGTACTTCCTAGGAAACAAGCAAAGCTACAATGAAACTATTTTATGTCTACCAGTTCTTCAAGATCAAGCAATGGGGGACACCAGCCCCTTCCTTTGTTGGGAGGAGGACAATTTGGTATGACTGGTTACGAGATTATGTACCCAGAGATCTGCACAAAGCCTTTTGACCTAGCACTTCTGCACCGAGGAATTCAGCCGACAGAAATATTCCTACTTGGCTATAAGTGTAGTCAACCTAGCATTGCTTGTTATAAGACTGGAAATAACCTAAATTTCAACCAACAGGAAATAGGATAAGTACACAGTACTAATAAAATATGATGCAGCCATTAAGACGAATGCGTTCATAAAAGCACTCTCCAAGTGGGGTCACACGGTGATGTTTTGTACAAACAAATTAAATGTATGTGCATAGACTTTCTCTGTTGATGCATAAGAAACTGGTTTATCTCTGCCCCAGGGGACGGGAAACCAGGCCTTGGAGGTCAGGGGTAGGAATGACATGGAGTTTTCCCCCTGGGATCCTTACATGCTCTGCATTTTTTACTCTGTGTATCTGAAAACATTTTTGTTCAGTTGTAAGCAGTTGCTTTGAACTTGCTGTATTATGGAGCCCCGTCTCTCAGTAAACTTATATTCATATCGGATAGGGTGAAAAGACAACATACTCTGTGACAAGTGCAGCACCAGGGGTCAGTGGGAGGGAGTTCAGGGCTGGGTCAGGAGGAGGGTTGCTTTGGGGAAGAAAATGAAGCAAGAGACTGCGAGGAAGTCAGACTGGTTAAGAAGAGTTAACTATGCTGGGGGCCTTGGGCTTAGTGAGGGTATGTCAGACTCAAAGACCAGTCTGTGCAAATGTCCTGGGGTAAGAGCAACCAAGAGCTAGAGCCATAGATGCTCTCTACTCTAATGCATGCATATCTCATGTGTAGTTTGGCTTCTAAACGTCCCGTGTTATCAAAACTGACCCCAGACTCTCAGCTGGAGGGGCCCATGGGGCTCGGGAGGGGCGAAGGCACCAGCAGCTTCCCCACCCACTCCCAGGCCAGGGCACTTTCCACTGATAGGGACGGGTGGGCCAGGACTCCAGACTCAAGGCTGGACTGCCCAGAGGCCAGGACCCGGAGCAGCCGGGAGGGACGGCAGAGGAAAGGTTTGGTAGAAAAGGCATCTTCCGTGTGACACCCGGTGAGTCACCTTCGGTCGGACAGCGACACTCTCTATGGCCCCGGCGGCCCATTCTGAGCTCTCTGAGCACCCAAGTCTCTCCTTCCCCATTACACGCAACCAAAACTTCTGCGGAGCAAAGCACTACGAGGCCAAACCGGCCGGCCTGACGGGAGCGATCTGCCGCCACCTGACCCCACCAGTGTCCACACTGAGCCCAGCGGAGGCGCCTGGCACGGGGGGCCTGCGTGCGGCCCGACCCCGCGGCAGCCCGTTCTGCACGTGGAGCGACTGAGACGCATGGGAACGGAGGGGCACCGTCGGGAATGGCGGAAAGAGCAGGGACCGGCCGGGCAGGGTACGAGCCTCCGCCACTTACCGGCGAGGCCGCGGCCTCCTCGACCATCCGCCGCCGGTTCCGGGCGCGCATTACGCCACTTCCGCTCCCGCCCGGACCCCGCAGGTGACGCAGCTCCGGACGGCCGCGCCCCCCCAGCGTCGTCCCCACCCCCGGGCTGAAGCACCGCCCCCTCTTAAAGGGCCGCGCAGCGCCACAGGACTCGGACTAGATTAGGACCAGGTGGAAACAAGCAAATCTGGGCGGTGACCGCCACCCTGGATTCTGTAGCACAAGCTAAGCCTCCGCCAGACCCTGGGGTGGACGATAAGTCACTCGTCTCCGAGGCTTTCCCAGCTCTAGGGCTCTGTCCTTGGAGGTCGCAGGAGGCACTCTAGGCCTGGTGGTGAGCCTGGCCTCCAGCCGGGGTACAGAGAGACCCGGGATCTCAAGGGCACCTCAGGCAAAGACAGCTCAAAGCCCCCAAGGAGTGTAGCGGAAACCCAGCCGGAGTGGCCCCTTTCCTTGGGAAGACCCCGTAAGGCCCTCAGACCTGCCACTGTCTCTGTCCGCGGGCTTCAGCCTCATTTACAAAGGAAGTGACCTGGCCCGGCCCCTCAGAACCTTGGTGAGCTGTCTTGGCACTCTGTGCAGCCCGCCCCCAGGACAGGAAGTGGAGCCTTGTGACTGCAGTATCCTTATCTACCAAGGGAGCGATTGTGCAGTGTCCTTACCCATTATGGGGGCGGAAAGGTGCCTCACTGGGGCCCCAGAGCAGGCCCAGCACAGACTCACTACCCCTCAAGGGTTTTTAAAAGACAGGGTGCCTACCACCCTCCCAGGTAATATCACCACCCAGGCAACAGCAAACTCAAGGGGTGCTCGGTTGGGACCTAAACCCTACCCCTTCTTCCGTAGGGAATGATGGTGGCATCTGCATTTGTGAACTTTCCTGGGGGGTTGGGGGCAAGCTTAGCACCTTCTGAGAACTCGCTGAGCGCTGGGGAGAGCACACATGAGCCATGAAAGTAAGGGAAGGAACGTTAAAATTTTTAAGCTTTAATTTTTCACCTTTTTCCTTTGTTTTGCTTTCAAAAGAAAAGGAGAGCGTGGCTCTGCCCCTTGCACATCGTCCACAGCCCCTACGCAGGGGCAGGCAGTTTGGACCTCATTGCCGGCCAGCTGCCTGGGGGGACTGGGGCTCACGAGGGGTACACATGCAGCCCCTGGGGCCGGGGTGCCGCCTTATTGCTGAGGTCTGTTCCTGGCTTGGCTCCGGGCGCAGCAGCTCCGCTAGGCGCGCTGGCTGGGCAGCTCCTGGGAGATGAAGCGGCGCAGGCGCTCCAGGTACTGGCTGTAGAGCTCAATGTCGTTGTGCCCGGCGCCCTCCACCCACAGTGGCTCCACGGCCTTGGGGCAGCGCTCATAGAGCGCCAGCCCGTGCGAGAAGTCGATCACCTCGTCCTCCGTGCCATGGATGATAAGCACCGGCGATGTGATCTTGGACACCTTCTCGATGCTGCGGGGTGGGGCGTGTCAGGCCTCCAAGCCCCGCCCCCCACCAAGGCCCGCCCCACCAAGGCCCTGCCCCGCCCGGGTTCCCAGGGCAGCCCAGTGCTCACTTGGGGAAAGCATCAAAGCAGTAGGTCTTCCTGGTGTCTGGGAAGGCAACACGCATGCCCGAGGTGAGCGGGGAGTGCAGCACCACCGCCGCGCACTCGTAGCGGGAGGCCAGGTCCACGGTGGGCACTGTGCCGATGCTCTGACCATACAGGACGATGCTATCTGGGCTGATGCCGTACCTGGCAGTGGGACAGGGTCAGCTGCAACTGGAACACTCCCCTCCCACAGCCCTCCCTCCGTGGGCAGTCTGTCCTCCCTTCTCCTAGGACAGTTCTAGGCAACTAGACTGGTCCCAGGGACCCTACCCTGGCCCCCAACAGAGGCGGTGCACTTAGTAGGGGGGCAGGGCCCCTGCAGGTGTGAAGACAGCTGCTCCCATTCCTCCCCAACCAGGCCACAGTCTCAGGTCACCTGGATCTACTCTCAGTTTCTCCAACAGGATCTACTTCCTCATGCACTAGGAGCGCACCTGGTGAGGGCCCCACAAAGGCTGCTGGGAGCAGGGTAGCTCTGGAGCCTCTCCTACTTCTCCAGGTCACTCTGTCAACCCCCAACCCTACACACACTTGACGAGGGCCACATCCAGATTCCGCTTAGAGTTTTCCTGTCCCTGCTATTCTGGATTAGTTAGTTCTTTGAGGAAGGGGGGGCCACCCCCTTTGCTGTGGGGAATTGAGGCAGCTGTCCCCATGTGTCACCCCTTGGTATCCTCCATGCCCAATTAGGTGCTCAGTACAACACTGGTGAGCAGAATATCCATTGCTGTGGGGAGGTGGGTGGGTGCTAAGTCCTTCTGGCACCTTCTCTATATAGTGGCCAAGTCCTGGGCCACCCTCCTCAGCACCAACGCCCACCTTCAAGCCCCAACCCCAGCCCTGTCACCTCCCACATGCCTCCCTAGGGTCCCCCCGCACAGCTGATCCAGCTCCAAGCCATTTCCACGGCCCCTACATGCCTATTCCCAGCCACATGGGGACCCACCTGCCACCCTCCCCATGCAGGTGGCCTCCAAGGTTCTCCTCCAACACATCAGACCCCAAACCCAAAGGGACATCCCTCTTCCTGGTGGACAGGGGCCAGGACAGTTCTGCATCTCACTTGAGGAACACACCTGAAAAGCCAGATTCCACCTCCCTGTCTACAGCGTTATCCCCACCTGTCTCTGTCCTGGTAACACTACAGGTTAACTCCAGCCTACCCCCAGGCCTCAAGGATGCTACCTGGCCACTCCTCCTCAGTCTGCTCCCAGGTTACCATGGCCACCACTTTGCTGAGCACCAGCACAGTCCTATCACCCAGCACCAAGCAGGGACCCCAACAGCCCCTGGCCGTCACCACCTGAATAAACTCAACAGGTGACAAATGGAGTGGCTCTTCTCCCTTAGGCCTCCCCAGCCCCAGGCACAGCTTGGGCACAAGCCTCCTGCTGCCTCTAAGCTGTTGGAGCTTAGGGACCAAGTCTCTGGAAGTCAATGCTGGTGACAGGATAGATGGACAATGGACAGAGCTCCTAGCCCTCACCCCATAGCGGGGTCTGATTCTGCCAGTAACCCCCAGCGCAAGCAAGGACAGAAGGAAGGGTTGAGGCAGTTGAGGGCAGGCATGTACCTGTACCATACCACCTAAGACAGGTCCCTGGTGCCAGGGGACCCTGCTCCCAGGGCCTGCCAAAGGGACTGCCTGGTCCATCACTATGAGCCCCATCTCCCCAGGGCAGACTGACTTTGGGCCTCGAAGGTCCGGCAGGTCAGCCAGGCAGGGCTGAAGCAGGGTATCCCTCAGCAGACAGTGGATAGGGCTCCACATCCAGGAAGGCCAGGGTTAACCTCCTTCTGGAGCAGTGCTGGGCACAGGGCGGCACGCTGCAAACGCTGGCTCAGAGACCGATAAATGTGCTTCAGTGAGTGAGTATGAGGGTGGGAGGGGTCTGCCCAGGATCTAGATGACCAGGATGGTGGACGTCCAGAGAGGGAATGGCCATGAGTCAAGCATGTGGGTATGTCCTCTGCTCACTGACCTCCCACCAGCCATCAGAGCTGTGCTAGGCACCAAGCTGCCCAACAGAACCCTCTAAGCCTAGAGGAGCCCCACCCCTACCCATTGTCCCAGGATGAGGCCAAGTTCCATGACTACAAGTACCTCATAGGCCTGCCCCCAGAATCCCAATGCAGTAGCCCAGCCTAGTCCTGAACCCCATGTGCTTCCTTGCCTTGGGACTCCTACAATTCATTCACACAGCCCTCACATGGTACCACTGGGCCCAAGGTCCTCTGCCTAACATTTCTTTCTGAGGGAGCCTCCACTTCACTGGAGACAGCCCCAGCCCATCCCTGCCCCTGCCCAGGGAGTTTGGAAGACTGCCGACATGCCTGCCTGCACACCAAGCACATCTGTTACCATGCTGAAGGGACACGGGTCAGGACTCATCTTCTGGACCACTGTGGCCACTGACGGTTCCCCTCTAGAGCAAGGCCACCCACAAAAACTTGGCCCAGGCTTCCTTCCTCCCCAGGGAGGTAGGCCTAAGTTTCTAGTGGGCCTACCTTGCAACCCCCGTCTCACAGCTTCTGGTCCCCTCCAAGGGGACACTTTAGGTTGACCAAGTCCCCGGCACACAGCTCACCTGGTGCGCAAGGCCTGCCAGGCAGCATCGATGTCGGCATAGAGGTTCTTCTCAGAGGGCCTGCCCGAGCTAACGCCATAGCCCGAGTAGTCATAGGAGAAGATATTACAGTTGATGCGTGTGCCCAGGCCAATGTAGAAGCTGCTCATCTGGCCCAGGTCCACTGCATTGCCATGTGAGAAGAGGACTGTGTACCTAGCAGGGTGGGAGAAGACAGGGTCAGAGGGCAAGAGAAAGAGGGGTCTACTCACACCTCAACCAGGAAGGGACAGGAGCGCTGTGGGGGAGGGGGAGGAGGATAGGCGGCCTGTGCCACAAAATAGCCTAGCTCCTCCTGCCTGCATGATCTCTGTCATGTTGAGCACAGGATGGGCCCAGCTGCCTCTCCTCGAGTCCATTCCTTTTGGAGGGACTCCAACAGCCCGAGGATAGCAGGCATGAGGGCCTGCTGCTCAGAGACTTCATTGACAGGGCTGCCCCCTCTCTTCCTGACAGTTGGCCTGTCCCCTGCCCCACAAGTGAATAAAGCCAACCCCTGATCACAGTGGTTTGGGTCTCCTTCTCCTGCAGAAAATGACCATGGCACTCATGTCAGCTCTTGTGTCCCATGACAGGCCTGCCAAGCTGCTGTAACAGGGACTGCCCAGGGCCTGCCAAGAGAAGGCAACCAGGTGACTCCACGCCAACAGACTCTCAAGGTCCTCTTCCTCCAGCACTACTGGGTCCCAGCTCCCACTCCCGCCAGCCCTGCCTGGCCCAGAGGAGAAGTAAGACCTCTCCCTCTGAACTTAGACCTGAAGTCACAACCTGCCTGGTGTGAGGCAGAAGCACCTGGAGCCTGCCTCTG